ATGGCGTGGGGCCCCGAACCACCAACAAGCAACCCCGGTTGAAGTTTCTTTGCCCGGGCGGAAGTGCCGCGGTCGGCGGTGCCAAGTCCAGTGGTCAAATCGTGGAGAGAAATGCCACGAATGACCAGTGCGCCTTACTCCCGACGCTACGAGCAAATGCAGCAAGTACACTCTGTAATATCGTCGAACGCCTGGAATTTCGTGTAAAAAGGAACCCTGCTAGCTGCTGTATTTGTTACTGCTTCTCTGGGACTGGTCCGTATCAATTCAAATTTCGTCCGTATCAAATCAACCCCCCCCATAAGAGCGAACACACGACGTAAGAATACCGAGGCACGCCTTTGCCATTGGCAGATAGCTGTCGTTCAATCCGTTGGAGCTAATCTTCGATAGGAAGAAGAGCCTTAAAATGCTAGCTGTGACTTCGACCATGGTGCAGGTGCCATCTTCCTTGTTTTTGCTTTCACTTCCGCCGCTGAGGCGATATCATCAGCTAACAGTCTCGACAACGAATTCTTTGGCCGCGGTCGTCAGACATTGGAGGTATCTTAATATTTAGCGCTTCCAGTAGCTCAAATGTAGCCTAGGACGTATTATCACAGAAGTGCGGACCTGCCCTGGAATGGCCGTATGTGAACGCTACCGTGTCGGTAAAGTCCCAGCTCGGGCACTTGAGACCTCGCTTGATTACAACCGAAAGTAAAAACGGTTTAAGTATCCCGGACGGCTTCCAGCTGAAAGCTCACAGATGTAAGCAGTGGATGGTCGCACGCTCTAGTTGTCCGCACTGTACTCCTGCCGTTGCGATTCATTAGTTTAGTATACAATCTGTCGATTGCCTCTCTTTCATCTGTACGTGTCGCCTACGTTGCAACGAGCTCTCGAAAACCGAGTTGCACGGTAGTATCCACAGAAGGTGTCTTCATGAGCTGCGTGGGCACCGACCACAACAGCAACACGCTGAGTTCTTTGCCGGCGAAGTGCGCCGTCGCGGTGCCAAGTCAGTGTCAATCGTGAAGAGAATGCCACGCATGACAAGTGCGCCTTACTCCGACGCTACGGCAAATGCAGCAAGTACACTCTGTATATCGTCGAACGCCTGAATTTCGTGTAAAAGGAACCTGCTAGCTGCTGTATTTGTTACTGCTTCTCTGGGACTGGTCCGTATCAATTCAAATTTCGTCCGTATCAAATCAAACTCTCCCATAAGAGCGAACACACGACGTAAGAATACCGAGGCACGCTTCTTTGCGGACTTTCGAGTGACACGGGAAGTCGAATTTGTGGCGCTTGTGCTCGATGCGCTTCTGGTACGTGTACTCGCTCGTGTCCTCGACGATGGTGATGGTGATTGGCCCAGTGTAGAGCTTGCCCCCTGGAGGGATCTCCTGTTGCAGCACCACTTCGGCTTGTGTCTGCTTCCGGTTGTACCAGTATCCGACGGTAAAGAAGGGCATACCAGGCTCAATTATCCACGACGTGAGGAACGACTTGGTCAGGTCTTGACCTGCCGCTCCAGCGATCGTCTTGACAGTCTTGAGAAACGACAGCGTCGTCAGCGGCTCCGTTGCCGTCGCTCCATTAGCTGGCTTGCCTGACGCGTTGGCAGACTCGACATTGGCGTCTTGTTCTTCGTCTGCACTCTTCTTGTCTTCCGTCTGCTTCCCACTCTCTTCCTCCTTATTGTCGCCAGTGTCGCCGCCATTGGCAGCACTACTCGCAGCTGCTCCAGCGCCTCCAGACACGGCACGCTGGATCGCAATGCCTAGATGTTTGGTCCTACACGCTGCTCAATCATATGCACCACCAGCGGCGCCTTGACGTCCAGCAGCGTCAACGACAACGGGTCGTACTCCGAGTACACATCCACCTCCGACGACAGTAAGGCCGGAGACTGCTGATCTGTCGTCAGCTCCATCGTCGTCAGTGCGTCCATAGCCAGTTGGATACGGTAGCCGTACTCTTCTTCCCCGTAAATAGACCGCACGTACGTGTTGACTAAATGGCCGATGACTCCAATCAACACCCACGCGTCTTTCGTGCTCTGAATGCCCACGGCGCCGCCAATCCAGCTGCCGACCAGCGCCTTCACTTGCGCCAAGTGCGACGGCAGCTCTCGATCAATAATCCGAGGCCCATGCAGCAGATTCTGGTCCAGAATGGCTCCTCCAGCGACGTATTGCAGCTGATCGGGCAGATCTTCCACAAACACCTGCTGGTACGTCTTGAACGGGTACGACGCCCCCAATGTCCCTTCAAAGTACGACATAGTCGAAGCCAACTTGGACGTGCAGTGCACGAGGTCTTCGAAGCATTCGGGCAGCGCAAAGTGCGTCATCCGGGGCATTTCTGGCGGGACAAAGAGTCGGAAAGGTCCCACAGCGAAGCCAATCGACGAGCAGTTGGTCTGTGGGTTCACGACGTATCGGAACGTCCTCCACTGTCCTCCGTCGGCGTCTGTCTCAGGGTTGAGAAGCTGTTGCACCATCTGTCCACTACATACTGCCACACACCAG